ATGTATGGAAATGCCAAAATTGTTGAGCGCTTGCAACCCTCACGGCAAACTGACTAAAAAAAAAAAAAACAAGGGAAAAAAAAACTCCTGTACGAGTGGAGTCGTAAATATTGCGTATACGCGCCGTGCTGGATTTGAAGCCCTCGAGGTGCGGAGCCACACTTGTCGGCTGGCAAAGCGCTAAACGTTGTTTGCCATTCGCATATCGAAGGTTATACAGCATGAAATCAGTGCCAGACGGCGGCAGCATCCACACGGGTGGTTTCCAGGTGGTTGCGAGCCACACAGCCACAGCCGAGACTTGGCGGCACATTTAAATGTAGCTGCCGGCTGTGTACGGGGAGAGAGAGAGAGAGAGAGATAGATGTTGGGAGATTGGTTTGTTGGGTGGCTCGCTTACAGCGCGCACAGACAGTCAAAAATGTACGAAATGTCGAAGTTTGGAATTTTGTTAAACAGGAATTTGGCATTTGCCGGCGATAGGCATCTTGATAAAGTTCTAGCTGCCCGCAGCTAGAAATGAGTTGGCATTTGTCTTTAACTCGAAGGCAGTCCAACTGCTTTAAGAGCCAGACATTCTATTTTGGCCAAATGTATGGGCCAGGCGGTAGGTCGCCTGCCTGCCTGCCTGCCTGTTAATTTTCCGCTTGTGGTTTTTTATTTTGTCATTTTCCACTTTGTGGCTGGCAGCGCTTTCAAGGAGGACACCGCCCGGACAGCTAGCTGTGTAATTATCTGGTTATGTTGTGCTCGGTCCTTTCATGCTGTTGTCATTATTGCCTCGTCTTGCGGCCATATAATGTTGACATTTTGCTGGCAAGCTGCTTAGGCAGCGCCAAGCGGAAATTGCATAGAGGCGGAAGTAATAGGCAATGGCAGCGTACGCAGAGAGCTGGAAGCAAAACTTGTACGCTTGCCAGGCCAATTTGAACTTGTAATTAGCAAACTCGACTTTAACTTGAAAGTGCAACAGACAGGCGCACTAATCGAAGTGTGGCAAACTAAATAAGCGCTGCAAGTCGAGTGGCTCTACTGTGGGTGTGTGTGTGTGTGTGTATGAGAGTGTGGGTGGCTCAACCGCAGGCAACGTATCTATTTGAGGAGCTTGAACGAATTGCACTTCAATTACTTGTTTCAGTGCCGCAATTACCATTCATTTGGCCAACATAATGTGTCCTTGTCAACGCAGCACACACATGCACACACACACACACACACACATATATATAGACAGACACATTCTGTGGCTGCTGCTTGTTGGCACCTTTGCTTTGGCAATTTACACACGGCAATGACAATAATAAATCAAAAGTGAAAATGCAAATATTTTGCAGACAACTGCCAGACATTGCCGTGCCACCTTGCAAGCCAAAGCCAGTCCAGACGAACCACAGCCATCTGTGGCTCCCCATGCAGCTGAGTCCAGGCCAGAGGCAAAAGATTTATTGCAGGTGATTGCTGCTGCCAGGGGGTAGGTATTTCGACTGTAGTTTAGCTATTGCACAAACACACACACACACGCACACATAGCTATCAATAAATAATTGGAAAATGAATGCTTTGCTTATGCGAGATTTCAAAATGGTCCCAAAGACAATGGCAATGGTCTACTTAGTACGGCTAGAGAGCTATATACAATATATACCCAGTGGAGGGGGCGAATTAAACTTGTCTGCTCTGCGACCATGATATCATCAATATTAAGCTATTCATGCCTCCGAGAAAGTCAACATTAAAGTTAATTTGATTAATTTATTTGAAAATATTCAATTCAATTTGTAAAATAGTCAATTGCTTCTATAAATCCTCTACGAATTTGAAGTACGCCTTTGTAACGAATTGCAATTTCTTACTGATTATCCAATCCAATTGCAATAGATAATCACCCGTTGGTATAGCATGTGGTAGGGTGTCCAACCTCAAAGAAAATTTCTGGACCAATATAATACCCTGTCAAAGAATAAAATCACATATGGTATGATACACTTGAAGTGAAAAACTATCACATTTTCCACTCACCTTGTAAGGACAACTGTGGTTTAAATTTGAATATTGCTTGAACATCTTGTAAACAATTATTGCAATGGGATTGTGGGGTTTCTTAACAAATTGACAAGCATCTAAGGATACTTTATAAAGCCATGGCTTGTAGCCATTTGCACGTTTAAATAACTGGCCACCAACCACCACATCTCTCTCAACTGGATGTAGCAATGTCAGATTCAGGTTAAAATACGTCATATTACGGCTAATAGCGTGCAGTCTGCATTCAGTAACGTCAATCCACGATTTATTGATTGTTTCGCAAATGAAATTTGTGAATTTAAATTGTACAGCTTGCTGTGAATGAGATTATATATGCATATATATATACTCATATGATTATAGAAGTGGGTCTCTCTCACATGCAGTCTTAACGCGAAAAATACTAGCACGATTCCAAACAAAATCGATCTGTTGTCCATCGCGTATAAATTATGTTTGATTTTAATTTTACTCTTTAATTTTATTTCAATGGCTTTAACAGACAATTATAAATACATTATTCGGCCCAATACACTCAATAAGTATACTCTGCTGATGGAATATACTAGACTTGCGCATTCAAAGGTCAAACTGTATGTAAAATAAAAATCACCACTCAAGTACTTGTAGGCGAAGTGGGCATGGTATCCAAAATCTGTAATTTAATAAATCTTCGTGTTCATCAAATGTATATACACAGTAAATCTGAAGTCTCCAGATCTGAAAGTGTTCAAATTAGGCAGAAAAAAACAAAATAAATTTATCGATTATTCTCAATAAATGGATGAGTTGGATGAGTTATCGAAAAATATGATAAACATGCAAAGTTTAGCTCTCTAGCTTTTATAACTTCTGAGATCAACTTGCTCATACAGACGAACCGACGGACGGATTAAGCTCGTCTGCAATGATTCCCTCTGCCTGTTACATACTTTTCACAAAACCAATTTAACCTGATTTCGCATTTCAATGGGTTCAGGGTATAAAAAAAAAAATAGGTAACTGGATTTTTTTTCACTCGCTTCAACGAATACAAATTGTTTAAAAATAATCTGAAAACCACATTGATTATCAACGCAGAGCATACAGCAATAAAGTATATGTTGCAGCTATCTATGGATCTCGTAAATAGGAAACCAAAGCTTATTGTTGCTGAATCTAGATTGTAATTCAAGGAAACCAAAAATTCGAAAATTAATTTTCTAGTTGGCATAACCCTAATATATATAACAAAAAATAATTTATATT